CATCTAAATGTTCGGCATTATCTACACTCAGACGTTCAAGCACTTTGAGACGATGGTTAATAGCGTCAAGTCTCCCTAGTCGTCCACCACGTTCTCGTTCAACCAATGACCTGACTTCTCCGATCCATCTACGCTGCAATTGAACAGCTTGTCGAACAAGTTCATTTTTCAATTCTTTATCATATTCTTCAGCTTGTTTTTTAAGTTGAGCATTGAGTTTCTCATAGTATTCTTCGTAAACCTGTTGTTTTTCTTGCTTAAATTTTTGATTCATGGAAGCTTCTTTCTTCATAATATAATCATCCACGTTTTTCTCGTAGTTGGCTAGCGTCTCATTAAATTTCTTTGTTAGTTCAGATGTGCTTTTTTCCGGTGCATTTTGTGCTTCAATTTTGAGAACTTCAACACGGTTGTTAAGTTCATTTAACTCTTCTCTAGCCTTTTTTAAAATACTTTCACCCTCATCTTTTACATCATAATTTCTCAGAATAGCATCTAATTCGTTAAGAGTATATGCAAGTTTACTAACGATGGTTTCTTCGGTGGATATAAGTCCTTTGGAGACCTTTTCTTCCTTATTAATCTGTGTCATGGAAGTTTCCTTAGGTGGTGACGCCACGGAAACTATGTCCACTGACTCTTCAGAAGTCGAAGGATTTTCGGATGGTGTAGATGATTTGATTCCTGGAATTTTTTCATAAGCATAGTCGCGCCATTTTATTATGCCATTTTCAATTTGGTTAAAAGTTCCTTGCTTATGGATATCTTCCACATATTCTACGGCCTCTTCCGCTCCATATACAGTTTTTGTAAATAAAGATCGAAAATCTTCATTTTTTAAAGAATAATATACGGCACCACCATAAGATAAGCCAGCCAAGAGTGTTATACCAAACAAGGTCTTTCCCAACCTTTTAAATCCACCTTTTTTAGCAGAATTGTTGGATTCTAACTCCTTCATATCAGGCACAGATTCGGTTGGTTCTTGTGTGGGCGTCTTCGAAGTGGGCTTCTTTGATTTCGGTGTAGTTGCTTCTTTCGTGGAAATTTCATTACTAGAAAATCTCTGTTGTCGGAATTGTGTTCAAAAAATCATTATCGTCTCTAATTTGAATGATCTTTGGTATTATGTAAAGGTTTGAAACCTTCGAAAAA